AAAAACAACAATAGAAACATGATACAATCAATTAAAAATCATAAACAATCAATTTAATTGCAGTTGTTTAGTATTTTGACATTAACTATCGAAAGATGAGTCTTTTCATTAAGTTTTTAGTTGATGGATTTTTCATTAAAATCTTTTAGTTGAAAGATTTTTACATTAATAGTTTAGTTGAAAAGTTTAAAAAAGATCAAACAATAGTTAAGTGATTTTCTCATTAAAAACCCTTTTCTTTACAAAGACGTTAAAAAAAGGGAGATCCCACATATGCGAGAGAGACCATCCTTTGATTTCTTCTTTCTTTTTGTGAATTATAACTAGAGGAGTTATAGTTCATCATATATGTACTTTTATGAAACCTAAACATATATACTAGTAAAATATAATAAACTGATTAGAGTTAAACATAAAAAGGAAAATTATATCTCTCTTTTTGAGTAGGTTCCCCATTGAGTGATGATGATGGGCCAAATCCCAAATTTGTTAGCTATGCACTAACTTCCATTTTTAAGAAAATGATATTTTGGGACCAACCATATATTGGCTTAAGCGTATTCTCTGTTAGGACATTACATCCTAAGTTTTTTCTTCAGCCATCTTAATTTCTAATCGATTTAGATTACGATGTTTACAAACAAATATTTGAGTTTGATTCCACTTTTAACTTCTAATTTAGATTATAGTTTTGTCTTTAAATTATTTTAGTTCAACAAAAGCAAATTCGACAAACAAAAATAATTTTTCATTAACCAATGAAAGGCTGTTTCAAGTTCTTTGCTTAAGACTGACACTGTTATTCTTACTACAACCACTCAATTAACTGTTTCAACTGTCGCAAAAACTATCATAATAAACAAAACTTTAACAACCACATAAATCTTATTCCATTAAAAGGATGTTTTTACTTCATGACACTTTCCAGCTTCACATTCTGGCTCCATTACGAATGCTACGCAAAGTAATATGGCTTTTCTGTACATATTGCTATAGATAATTCTGCTCTAGGCAATATATTGTTTAATGAAGAATCGATTGCGAAGGTCCATGGTATTAATCGCCTTGAACCATTAAATCCTCAGATTCAGAGGATGAGTTAGATGAGTTGGTTAACACAGATGGATCGAACAATATCATCATTCCAACGATTTTTTTCGTGATAGACCACTTACCAAAAATCACATGAATTGTTTTCTTTCTTTAACGTAGTTAGAGAGCGCATAAGCCCTGGTCGTGAGAACCGCGGTCAACGTGTGGCCAAAAGGCTAAAGTTTTTTTCTATTAGTGCCGGATCTCATCATCCTCAACGGTTTGCTTCGATCTTTCTTGGACTTATGCTACTTCTCATACTTTTATTGTATGTTTAATGTTTTTTCCAAACGATCTTCCAATTCTTTAAAAACGTATAACATTGTCATAACTTCTATTTGTTTTTTAATAGAATACATTTTATAAAAATGCATATTTCTTAGGTTAGGTTGCATGGAAACTTCGTCAAAGGTGCGTTTTCCGTTTCGGAAACTTACTTTTTGGAAACCGAAATTTTTGGAAACGCCATGGAAACACGTTTCCTATAGATTTCAATTTGGAAACGCAATGGAAACGTGATGAAAACACGTTTTCTAGAAATTTCATTTCGGAAACACGACGAAAATATTCAATTTCATCTTGTAAATGCGACGAAAACTTGTTTTCTCATTAAATAGTTTGGAAATGTAGGGACTTATTTAG